AAATATGAAATCGAAAAAAAATAATTTCTATGGTTTTTTTGAGAATTATCTTAGGTTGAAATGCAACAAAATCGAGAGCATTTCATGATCACTGAATGGAAGTAAAACTGAAAGATTTTGCCTCATGCTCTCAATTGCGATATTAGCAGGCTTGATTGACCGTTGTCACGCTTTCTACATGAAAATTTTTGTTTTACGAAATATTTTTTCAGTTGAAAATGTGGAAACAGTCCTTACTACTACATACCTAAGCACAAACCGCCTCAAAAACAATATCAGCAACTATTCTAACTTTTCATATGTAGAGAATGGGCCTGGAGCCTGCAAAAGTGCTATAAAGTCACGCCCACCCTACCAAGTTCCGCCCATCCAAAGACGCCTTCAGGAAGGGGTCGGTCTTGGGGGGGGGGGGATGCCATTTTGGACTTTATAACTGTAATCAGGGCTAAGGAAAGGCCCCAAAGTGACAAAAATATGGAATCTTAAATTTTGGAGTGATGTTGCCTTTGGGTTTGAAATGGCTTCACTTTACATGTACGTCAACGACCTTAAAATCTTACTAGAAAGGAAAACCCGTAAACAGCATCAAAACAAATAAATAAGGCAGAACTCGTCCAAAACAGATAAGCCTTACACACCGAGACCTCGTATTACTCAAGATGAACACATGTTCGCGTGATTCGCTAAGCCGGTTAAGCGGCTAGAGAAGCATGTATGCGTGTCAGGTCAATGAGGGCCATTCAAGGGGATATATTAAAGCCGTAGGCACTTGAGATGCATAGAATTTGAATCGCTTTGGCATTTTCAAATGCTCCACGAATAGAAAGTAATGCATAGCTATACGTGAATATTGTGCCTACGCAATTGGATTCGAGTGGGCCTGGAAAATTTAAGGATAGAAAAATCGGCGCTATTCCAGTATACCGACCCCAAAAATTAAAAATCTCGAATTTCGCTCAAACTCGTTATAGGGGGGTTATTGGATCCGCTGATGCCGAATATTATACTGATTCCGTGCGATAGCGCCATTTTCCGGGGGTTACGGTAGGTATACGGTAGGAGGTCAAAATCACAGAATTCCCTGAAACTTGGTGGAGGGGGGTTATTTGACATGCTGAACACGAATACGATATCCATTCGTTACGGTAGCACCTCATTCCGGGGTTACGGTGGGTATACGGTAAGGGATCAGAATCACGATATCCGCTGAAACTTTGGGTATGGGGGTTATTTGACATGCTGATCACGATTATGATGTTTATTAGTTACGTAGTGCCTCATTCCGACGTTACGTTGGATATACATTACCAATACCACCGCTAGATCGAGATTCAGGGCTTGAAATCTCAGTCACACGTCGGAAATTTCCTCCCCTGCTTTGCTTAGGCAAAAGCCGCCGCAGGGTGTATCGCGCGCGGCGGTGGGTGTGGAAAGCAGTGAATGAGACCCTCTTACAGTATACCCACCGTAACCCCGGAATGAGGTGCTACCGTAACGAATGGATATCATATTCGTGTTCGGCATGTCAAATAACCCCCCTCCACCAAGTTTCAGAGAATTTTGTGATTTTGACATCCTACCGTATACCCACCGTAACCCCCGGAAAATGGCGCTATCGCACGGAATTAATATGATATTCGGCAGCAGCGGATCGAATAACCCCCCTATAACGAGTTTGAGCGAAATCCGAGATTTTTAATTTTTGGGGTCGGTATACTGGAATAGTACCGAAAAATCATAGGAAAACGTCAGGAAGCGAATATACTTTAGATTTATTGTTCCTCTTTGAGGGTGACTAGTGTTAGATATTAAATTGCTTTCTGAACAATGTTTGGCTTTTCAAGACGCATACCCCAATATATTGATCAGGTAAGAAAATATAGAAAAGACACAAAGTAACTAAAAATATGTCATGTTTTAAGTTAGCTTTCATTTGAGATGCATTTCGACAAATGACAGTCACAATGTTTTTATCAGAACGTCTGTAAAATCATTTCCGTTTTAGCATTTTTTTAATGGAATCTTCCGAAGTAGAAAGAAAGATGTTCATAACCGAAAAAACTAAGATTCTCAGGATTACCTTAGGTCGGAACAATCATTCCTGCATCAGCACTTCTGAGAAAAATTCCAGAAATGCCCAGGAATTTTTTATTTAACATAATTTTATCAGCTTATATAAGCTGCATTTTACCAGGAATATGAAAAATTCCAATTTTAATAGGATAAAAATAGAAAAAAATGAAATGTGACTGTTTACGGATATAACCAATTAGCACTACTTCTTGTGCTTAAAAGCACATTTTACAGCATTTGTATTTAATGTATTTTTTGTATTTGTATACACAGTAAAAAAACTTTCGGGAGTAGCTCTTTGTATTACTATCAGAAAGTGCATTATTTTCCGCTCCTAGGATAATCTAGTTGAATTTCGTTAGAATCAGAAAACTCCGGATCAGGAAAAGGTTTTCAAAAATTCTGGCGCAAGAGTTGTGCACCAGTCTAATTAGAAAATAATTTATCAATTTTTCAACGCATTTTTGTACCAGAAGACGATAAGAAGTTGATACACGGTTATTTCAATAAACTTATAAACCCTTTCTTAACAAGCATTTCAAGAAAAGGATCCTCGTGATCCGAACCAAGAGCACAAGCAAACATATCAAGAGACAAACAGCAATCGGGTGTGTATGTCTAGGTGTAAGCCGAGAAGTGGTCAGCCCCGATGGCGGAATGTCCATGCTATGTCCACTCGGCTGGGTGGGGTTAGTTACATCAGCTGAGAGCCGGAAATTTGTCGTCAAGGCTATGATTACTGAGAGTTTGCTCTGAGGTAAACTATAGCTGATACGAGTGAGTAGGGCTTTACCGTGGACGAAAGGGAGGAGAGAGAGGAGAATAAAGAGGGAGGGGGGGGGGTAAAAAACAGTAACCGATCGCAAAATGGAAGAGAAGACCAAGATTAATGGCACTACACTTGCAACAAAATTTCAATGGTCAAAGTGTTGAAAAAAATGTTTCAACAATCTGGTATTCAAAATTATTCCAACAATTGTTTGGCATTAGTCCAGTGAGATCTTCTTTTTGCAAGAAACACACAGGAATCATAAAAGTGGCTAGGACCATCTCTCAGTCAAACCCGGTATGAATTGTAACTCTATCTCTCCCCCCCCCCCCCTTCGTGAAATCATGCCCTAATACCAAACCGTTGTGGTTGTTCACACGGGTATACGATGGAGTACAAACATGCTTCCTTCCCATAAGTGTGTAAATATTCATAAAAAATGAGCTAAGGAAAGAACTGTAAGTAATTTTGAAAAACCTAGTAATCCAAAGATACTCTTTTCTGGGAAAGTTACATTTTTATTAGAGGGAAAAAAGTGAAACAATTCATGCGTACAATTTTCACGTAGTTATTTACCACGCTCATTTTACCTTTATTATACAGTTCAACATCATGAAAAGATAATTTGTAAGAAAGAATTTCATAAGTTGACAAAAAGACAAAAGACATGAAAAGATTGAAAACACTCTCAGTCCAACTTTGATCACTCAGTTCCAGCTAACAGCGTCTATCAACCACAATACATCTATAGCGCTTCTGATATGGTTTGCAAACGGGAAATAGTAGATAAGCTTGCGAAATTCTCAAAACTCCAAATACCCACCTCTTATTAAGAGTTTAATCTACGTAAAAGCGCTGTGCAGATTATACCGGAACGCGGAATCAACCAAGAACTAAATCGATATTTAGGATTGCCATTAGCATATGTAATAAGAAGATCTATCGAGCGACTGAATTTGTTGATTCGGCATGTTTGGAGATACGAAAATTTCTTTAAAAACCGCAGAGTAGGGAAAACTGACGGCTCGCGATGAGCGTAAGGTGGAAAGGAGGGGGCGAGGGGGGGGTCCCTTTTTCACAGCTTATTGTTTTGCTAGCGCAATGAATATGCCAAGCGTCTTGAAAGTATTTTGCTGCGGATGACGCCGTGCCTCTTTTTCTCTCAAAAAAATTGCACCCCCCTCATACCCTCACTAAAAAAATGCCGGCGCTAATAAAAATATTTTGAGGCACAATAGTCATGTGAGAGGGGTATCCCAGTTATATATTATGTATCACAAAAGGCAGAGATGGTCCGTATTATCGGCGAAATTGTAGTAAAATCTGGGATTTTGACCGACAATTCAGTTCAAAAGGGGCGTGATAGGAGCCGAAAAAGTCCAAAAACTTGCAAATTTTTCTGTAAAGGGAAGAGAGGGGCGGCTGAGCGGTTCAGCATAACTCTCTCGCAATTATATTGACGATATTGAAGTTTTAGGCACTACCAGTCAACTCAAGCAAAAGCGAACAGTCTTTGTCTTTCAGTGCTATCCAAAATAGGGCGTGGCAAGGGGCGGAGTCATCGCAGACGTGATTTTGGGGTGGCATAGGGAAGGATACTAGAATGGCAAAAAGAAAAGCGCTTGAAAATGCAAAACCTTGCAGATTCAATGATCGGGTTGTGCGTTTGATTCAAACAGCTTGGCTGCTGGTAGGCGGGGCTTTGTGACCCAATTGAGGCCGTTCGCGCTTGCGACACAGTCTGGCGCGGCGCTCTCTGATCATTATCCAGCCTTAATTAGGCCGTGAAGCCCCGCCTTCCAGACGCCAAGCCAATTGAATCAAAGGATAGATCAAATAAGTTGGAGTTTGAGACTTTTGTAGTTGATAAAATTGCAAATATTCAACTTTCTGCGAACTCGTAAATGTACAAACTTTTTTTGACAAGTTCTTGGTGGCCAATAAAACAATAAAAGAAGAAAACTAATAGAATGTAGAATTATTACACTTTTGCTTTTGTAGGAGCTTTCCTCTGCTCTCAAGAACATTCTAACTTGACACCAACTATGTTTACAATGTATTTTGCGCGTCATAACACTCGAGCCGGGAAAATCGATGGGAAAACAGACTTTTCCACCTAAAAAAACACCTGGAAACTAGTTATGAAATAGTTGCCAACCTCTCGATTGTGCTATCCGTGTCGGTGGCAGCAGTTTTGATGATCCGCTGGTTGGAATAACAACATTTGATGCCTGCGTTGTGGTGACGGGACGCAACGGAGACGGCAGCCTGAAATATGTCGGACGAGTTTTTCGCGGTGGCTTTTCGGCTTTCTTCAGAGAAGAAAAACACTTTGAATATTAACGAGTCATTTACCGCATCTCATTAGAGCAGCTGAGCGGAGTAGGCGGGTGGGGGGGGCGATAAAAATGTAAAAACTTCGTGGAAAGCTGGAGCACTCTAGTGCAGAAGCACAATGATTACACTAGAAGTTGCGCAAGTTTCGATATCATCCCCGATTTTTAGGTCCCTCGAGACAACTCGTCCGAATCTCGCCGCTCACTCGAGATTTTACATTCTATGTCAAAAAAAGAGCTTTATCTCGGATAGCTGCTGAACAGTGGTATAAATTTGATATTAGAGATAAGTGTGACAATGGCGTAACCTCAAGGGAAAACTCGTCCTTTTTTCCCTCTACTATTTTCCTCTCCCTCTTTCTCTTTCTCTCTCTTTCCCTCTCTTTAGTACTTTTATCGATATAGTGATTGAAAAAGCAAAACTTTACATATGGGTATATAAAAATCCTGATAACGAATGAGGAAGGGGGTCGAAAGAGGGAAGAGGGATAAAGCACAAGGACACAGAAACCTTTTGAGTAAGAAAAAAACTTTGATTTCATAACAGCAGTTGTCTTAGGATTTCAAAATGTGAGAAATCTTTGATTAATTCCATCAGCACACTTCTTGTAGACTAAAAAAACTTTGGAAATATTTCCTGTGTAAATATCCAGCTCGGATGATTCACAAGAAGTATAATAGGTAAAAATATAGAGCCTGTATTTGATAGAATACAGAAGAAGAATAAAACTTACAAGTCTCAAAAAAAATCCGAAGTCTAAAACCTTGAAAACAAGGCTCTTTTAGAAATATCTCAAATTTGATTCAATTTGATGGATTTTTACTGGAGGTACAACCCCTTTTCCTCGCTCACCCAAAAAATTTATCAAATATGAAAAGTATCATTGAAAACTAGTCCAATATCTTAGAATTTTGGATTTTTATGGTCTTACCAAAGCTCATAATTTTTATAAATGTAGTTAATTCTTGGATTATCTTCAATTTCGATGCAATCCTTTAGTTATGATATCAACGCGACCCCACCTCCCCCCTTGGATTATCTTTAATTTCGATGCAATCCTTTAGTTATGATATACCCGAACCCCCCCCCCCCCCTCTCAAATAAACCATTTTCATCTCCTCAGAGACAGCAAAGTCTTCTGAGAATTCAATCAAGCTTGAAAAGCGGAATGTTTTGAGAACAAATTTTTAACAAAGTAGAGAGAATGTGGAACTTCGACAAAATTACTGCATCTCGGAGAGGAGAACAACTGTGCCCTCCAAGCCATTTCTGATATCAAAACTGAAAGGGCTGGGCACCGTTAGCCGGGCAATATCTCAATTTTATAGCCCTATGCCACCCTGAGGCCGCGCTCATCCCATTTTCACTCCGGCTCAGCGTAAATTGTCAATTCTTTCGAGCTCGTAGAAAAATCGCCTAGGCGGAATGGCCGTGGGCTATAGATAGCTCTGCATTTCGTAATTCTAGAGTCAATTGGAAGTCTACCCATAAAATTAGAATTTTGCTATAGATTTCGACTGGAATAGATAAGGATGGAGGAAGCGATAGAGTTGAATCATCGAAATTTCTGACCAAAACACTATTGATTTGGGTTAAACGACCCTTAGACAAATATTGAGCAGAATCAAGCTTGTAACTGAGTAAACTAACGTGGAACTGGAGTCCTAAATCATGATTTGGCCCTCATGGGAAAGAACTCCCGACAGGTACTACATCATTAACCAAAGTCGCATAAATCATAGAATGCGCTCACCTAGGTGAGGTAGGGGTACTTATGGTTGGGTAGATGATACATAGGGCCACGTTTATGCTCCCCCCTCCTAGTTGCAGAATGCAAGTTTGCTGCAGAACCGATAAAAATAAATGAAACACAGATGAAAGATTGAATTTTTGTGTCCAAAATGTGAATAACTCATCTTTGCCTTCATCTATTTCAAATCTAGACTTGTATTTGAAATAGGATTTTCTGAATTTTTGAATTGCTCTTCTAAAAAATTGAAAAGTTTTTCAGTATGCAATCGCTTATCAGTTTGTGTGAATAAAATGGGTTGAGAAGAAAAATTCTTTTTTTTCACAGTAAGATGCAGTCTTGATAGATTAAAGCGCAACAACACATGTTGAAATCTTTCAATTTGATTGACCAGCTGCGACGCCGATGTTTCTTTTTTTTCGTTTTATATGCGATGTTCGTTGCGAAAGGCATGATTGAAGAATAAATGATGATTGATCCGCTGTAACTGATGCAAGAGCAGCGCTGTAGATTTTCAATTTCAAAAATGAATAATTGAGCTCTGATTATAGCGGATCTTCAAGCTTCTCTTTGGCAACGAACGATATGGAGCAAAGCAAAAATTTATAGAAAAGCAGCTGCTTGTGCAAAGCAGCTTGGGGACATATTGCCGGTACAAGTAGCTTCGTTTAAACATCATTAACCATGTTTTTACTATGATGCACTTTTGATAAGTTGGAAAGGATTAAAGTTTACTGCCAAACTAATTATTAGCCTTGGCACAAAGATTACAACACCCTTAGAGTTTGCAGCAACTTTTTTGTTTATATATGAAGGAATAGAATATCAAAAATTATTCCATCCAGAGGGTGATTGGAGGAACTAAAGCACTTCATGCTGACTTGAAAATTTGCTTTATGAACGTTTCAAGAATACATGCCAACTATTTCTTTAGTGAGTTGCAATCTCATACGGAAGACTGCAAATTTGCAATATTCATTTGATCAACATTTCGAAAGCAAAAAAGAACAGGAAACATCATCAAAAAAAGTGACCAAAAACAAGCAGATATTTTTGAGGATTTTTCAAGAGATGCAATTTTGCTGCAAAGTTCAGTTCTGACTGCACAAAGATTTGTGCTTGATAAATGGATTCTTTACATGATCGTTTTCTCATAGCTTCCTTTAGATGATATGTATGTGGAGAATCGATCAAAATTCAGAAAGAGTTTGCTTTTTTACATGTGATTTCCTTTTTCATTATGGTGCATCTTTGGATGTGATCAAAGAATAATGACAGGTTAATTAATAATGCGATGTCATCGACAAAGTTCTTGCAAGACGAGAACTGCTTCAATTAGAAAAACTGCTATCAAGCGCATCCGCCCGAATTTGCAAATCACGCCAATTATCACTCCCCCCCCCTTTGCAGAATCCTTCAACACGTCGCAAGTCCTCTCTTAAGGTCATCATCATCAAAGAAACGAACGGCGAATGCTGTACAAGTGCTCGGCGTGGAAAAACAAGGCGGATTTCGCAAATTTTGACCGCAATGACGTACAAATAGCATGAAGGCCGTTAACGAGATGATGTTAGTCGTAAAGAAGCTATATATTTCCGTTACCGGTAAGTGTAGAAGTATTTTGACGGAAATAGCAATTCTGTGCAAATTTGCGTCGGAAGGTACACGATATCGTTAAATCACAGAAATATTTATGGAACTCGAGCTACTATGAAGAAATAGCGGCTCAAAACGAACAGCATGAGAAAATAAGTGATTGGACTGAAGTTGATGTCTTCCTGATATCAAACTCGTCCTGAGAAAAAAGTGCCAAAAAAGGACGAGTTCAATCAACTCCGCACGTGTTCTGAACCCACACATCTTCATCTTCTAAAACAAGTTTTGAACAATTTTCTGAAAAAAAACTTTTGAAAAATCCTGCCGCAGCTTTTCTTACTTTGGTTCAATATATAAGAAAGATTTCTCATATTTTTTGACGAAATAAATATTTTCCAATGTTCGAACCGACCAATGAAACTTTTAGCCTAAGATCAAGTTTTTTACAGAAAAAAACTTGAAATATAGGTTGTTTGGAGTTTTTTTCGCTTTCGAATAGACATTCTCTCATTAGAGCAGGCTTTATAAGAGAAAAGAAAAGAAAAAGCGAAGTTTCTGTGCTTTTTTCCAACTCAAAATGAACTTCCTCATTAAAGTGGGTATTACAAGAAAAAACGAGAGGAAAAAAATGAGATTTCTGGGATTTTTCTAACCTCAGAATAAAAATCTAACAAGATATGTAGGTCTTCGAGAGAAAAACGAATAGCAAAAAATGAGATTTTTGGGGCTCTTCTCACCTCAGAATCAAAATTCTCTCGTTATCTCTTGTTGTAAAGAAGTTCGATTCATTTGGGAAGGAACTCCACAGATTGCGACAGAACAGCATCTTAGTCAGAATACAATTTCTTATAGCTTGCTATATGCAAACGAATGATCAAATGCTCTCTTACAGCAGCTGCAGCTCTTTTATGCAGATTTATTCCCGTTTTTGTGCGAAAAGTCCCGAAGTCCTAAGATGTTGTCCGGTTTCGCGTGCGGCAGATCGCATGTTTTGTTCGATTAATGAATGGCTTGTACTTGGGGGCGCCGTATGGGAATCGAATATGCTCTCATATGATGCTGATGAATGTCTCTTAGTATTGGCTCTGTGTAATATAATGTGGCTGTGGGACTCATGAAAAGGTTGCATGGCACTTGTGCAGAATTTTCTAGAAGTCAAACCACTTGCTAGAGGTAGAAAAGAGGCAAAAAGAGATTGAAAGGAGTAGGAGAAGCGGTCAAAATTTTTCAGAAAGTCTTAGAATAAAAGAAAGCTGGAGAGGATTAGAAGAATACCATCGTTTCTCACGGAGATTTCTGGAAATCTAATGAGTCTGATGAGCATTGTGTTCCGCGAATTTATTTTAATGCCGCAAAGTTTCCGAACTCAAAAAAGAGTTTCAAAACAATTTTTTAAAAAACACAAAATAAGGCAAGATGGAAAAAGCAGTCAAAGATTAGCCACAATGTTTATGGCTAGACGCTATCAAAAATCTGACTGAATTTTTGAGATTTTTTGATATTTTTGCAGTCATATTTGTCATATTTGTTCTCATACAGGGAGTTACCATTACAAAAAGGCTCTGGAAGCATTCAAAGAATTTCAGTGTTAAATTTACGACTTGTTTTAGGCAAATCACGTAAAATATAACCTTTCTGTGCATAGTGGGATCTACATTGAGCGCTTTCCGAGCTTGTTTTGGTTTATTTTTTTATAGAGAATGGAAAAAATTTGAAATAGGGTATACGAGATGGAAGTAATTGGACGCTAAGTAATGTTTTGTAACAAAAAAGTAAGAGGTAATTCCAAATGGAAAAATTTCATAATCCCTAAGTTCAATGAAAATTAGGCTGAAATGGCACCAAAAACAACAAAAAAGGATGAAATTGAAAAAGGAACGCAAGGCATGGCACGAAAAAAAAACGAGAAAAAAGTGAAACAGGAAGGGAAAAGCATTTAGCCCACTTTGATGTTGTGTACGGTTGTTATATTCATGAGATCTGGGTAATTTTTTGAAAAACGAGTAAAAATTTCTGGATTTCTCAAGATCTGTGCTCAGCGATTGTACCAGAGAAATTACAATACTGAGTTCAACGTACATTATACGTTTGTAACTTGAAGCCTTGCAAGTTAAGTTGTAAGTAGAAAACTAGAAAGACGTTTCCTCCTGTTCTACTAGAAAATGATGCTATGAAGCGCATGGCTCAAAAAGAGCTATGATATTCTATTCGAGAGAAAGAGAACGAAACAGAGAACTAGAACAACCAGATTTCATCGATTTTCCGCGTTTTTTTTGCCATCATGCATAAACAATTACATTCATTCGCAAATACAAAAAAACCGAGCAAAGCTAGATGATAGGTTTCAAAACAGTGTAAATCCGCTTCAGTTCGTCGTATAGGCAACTTTAACAGCAAAACTGGGAAAATAAAAGGACAAATTGGAAATGAGCAGCAACAGTACACTACATGGTGACGCTACATGGTGCCTTATCTGTAAGTGCACGATCTGTATAGTTTTGAAAAAAAAGTTATTGACTGCCACTGGGGAATGATCCGGCAAGCTCATTAAAAGTTTGTACTTTGGCAAAAGGCGGAAATTACTATACTAAGCTTGCTAGAGAAGTTCTGCTGCTTGATATAGGTTCTTCCTAAATAAATCGCGAAAACTGAAGTTCTGCGGAAGTTCTGGTAATTAAGGGGACCAAAGTATGCCGGAAATTCTAGATAACTGCGAAAGCGACGAGTACTGCAAAAGTTTTTCTTGGAACGAATACCGCATCAAGAATTCTGTGGAAGTTTTTCTCGGCATGATTCGAAAAACAAGAATTTCTGCGGAGCTTTTCGGGGCGTAACTCAGGGCTCTGGCGTACGCAGTAGTGTCTTCTGATAAAGTGGTGAAAGCAGAAGTTCCGCGAAAGTTTTTTCTCTAGGGAAGTCTCTGGAAGCAGAGGTTTTGCGGAAACTTTTCTCGGTAAGTCACATAAACCAAAGTTCTGCGGAAGTCCTCCTAGGATGAAGTGTAAGGCTAGAAGTTCTGCGCTTATTTCTTGCAGGATAATTCACCGGGGTACAAGAGTTGCAATAGTTCTCATGGGGAAATCCATAGGACCAGAATTTCCGCGGAAGATCTTCTCAGGTTAAGGCGCAACTCAAAGTTCTGCGGAAGTGCTGTCGATAAGAAATCGCTCAGCGCGGAAGTTTTGCGTAAGTTCTCCTTGAGAGGTTGTGGGGCGGAAGTTCTGCAGTTGTTCCGCTCAGGACTTCTCAAGGGAGAGAAAAAGTTCTGAGTAAGTTCTTCTGCAGCTATGGAGACCAGAAGTTCGGCGTTTCGCGTAGCGTAAACCGCGGGATACCAAGATTCTGCGAAGTTCTTCTTAGGATGAAGCGCAGCGATCAGAAGTTCCGCGGAAGTACCTCTTAGTTAAGTTACGCGAATAAGAAGTTCTGCGAAAGTACACCTCTGACTGATATTCGGGACCAAAGTTTCTCACAAAAATGGGACGACGTAGCATCGTAGTGGAAAAATCACGCAGACAGAACAAAATGTTCGACAAACATTGCCGCATTTTAGATCGCTAATAGCCATTCAAACGCAAACACACATGCGTGTGTACGCATATGTAGGTGAAAAATAACACAGCGGATCCATCGTTGTCGTTACAGGAACAACGGTTCCGATGTTTGTAAAACACCGAACGCTACGGTATTTGTTCATGTACTACCGTCATGATGCTCCGATGAGCGTGTGACAATAGCTGTACAGATGCTGATGGACAATGATAAATACTTTTTTGGAATGTATAAAAAATGAACGGGATGGATGGCTATAATGAAAACAAAGTACCTGAATGTGTGAAATAATGACTTAGTGAACGGAAATTTGAAATCTCTTAGCAGCGAAAGAACCATTACATTGTGAATGATGATATATTTATTATGCTTATAAAATATCATTTTACTGCTCTGCCATTTACTTAGTTATTGATTTGTTTATTTAATCATATATTTATTTATTTATTTATTCGTTCGTTCATTGTTTCGTCCTCCTTTTGTTCGTTCATTCTTCATTCATATATTTAAAGGAAAGAAAGAATGAATCAGAAGAATGATTGGATGAATGATTGATTAATTGATTGATTGATTGGATTGAATGATTGATTGATTGAACCCATGAGTAAATAAATAATAAATAAATGAGCGAATGAACGAATGAACGGATAAAGGAATACTCCTAATAACTGATTGAAACTGACTAAACGATAGCAACAGTAACGATTTGCAGCTCGTTGTGAATGTTTACAAGTGCGGCATGAAACAGGAAAGATTGGAAAAATTCTCAAATAAAGAAAAAAGACAAAAATTTGTAAGAGTGACTCAGATGAACCAAAAGTAAGTAAAGACGCATCAAAATGTTTACACTGAAATATGAATGAAAAAATACTTCCTATAATGCAAAATTTCTACAGTTTGGAAAGGAATATTGACTCAAAACCACCAAAGCAGCAGCTTTTAGAGCACAATCTATTTCAACTTTGTCTTTGTCCTCAAAACCTTTTATTTTACGTAGAAACTTGAAAAAAGAAAATATGGAATAATCATAATTTTAGTAATTTTCTCAACTGGAAATTTTGCTAGCGTGAAAGCTTGAGTGGCCACAGCATTGAGAGCGTTAAATTTTTGCATTAGAGTCTCAATATCGTCAAAAATGAGTAAAATTTTTACTTACCCGAAAAGTAGGGGAAATTGCGGCATTGCATGACACCTACATCACGGGCTGAACCGTTCACCGCTCACCCACCTCGTATTACTAACACAATTTCAATTGTAGAACCAGTCACCGCAAAGTAACTGTGAAAAAGAGTAGGCGTATTCGCGCAACAAAAAAATTTACGATCCCCGTTTTTCTCGGCTACAAATCTAGGCCTACATTTGTATGTAACTCACCCCATTGTGCATATGCAGTATTCACACTTCATTTCACGTATTAGGAACTGTTGTTCATGTAGCGTAAACATAACGGAGATGTGCTATGGTGCATGAGTGTGGACTAGTTTTTTTTTGGGGGGGGGGGGACGAAATGATTGGGAAAGATCGGAGGAGTACTGTATAAATGGGCCGTTTTGCATTACTGTTCGAAAAATAAAAAAGGCAAACAAAATGAAAAAAGTGTGATTTCATGATACCATACGAAGAAGAATTCTAGCTGTACGACTAGAGACGTTTACATCATTTGCATATTTAAAATTTTAAATTTATAATATTTATAGTGTTCAAGTTGATTTTCTGTTACTGTGCCCCATTATTTACCCATATTGCTCACTTCTTTGTTTGGTAAACATTTCTTTCGGATTTTAGGACTCAAGAGAAAAATCAGCGATGGTAAACTAGTTGACAACAAAAACATAAAATGATTTTTAAGCAAAAATCAAATGTATTATTTTACCAAAGAACTTGCATTGATTGAAACAAAACGATAGTCCTAAATTTTTGTATCCTAATAGAAATTTTCCAGGTAATCTCATTATTTGTTCATCAATTTATTAAGGCAAATTAATCGATTATTTATTTTTATATTTACTTATTTACTACTTGTCATGATGTCTCTCAATTCGTTTGCTTTTTGAGTTATTCTTTACAGCTTTTTTTATCTAAATGGGAAAAAAGGATTATAAATTTTCACTGAAAAAAGCGAAAATGAAGGCAATTTCACACAAAGAGATTGAAGGCCCCCACCCCGAGGCACTATTGCATACTCAAAGTTCAATTTTGCATAGAAAAACAATAAATCTTCAGTAACTTGAGCTTCAAAATCAGATAAACTCAACAATAGGAGCAAAATTGCACTTTTGCAACTCTAATCTGCTATCATCTATCACTCCCACTCACTTTTTTACTGGAACAAAAGCACATATGCGAGAGAAATTGAAGCAGAAAGAAAATATAAATAGATAAAAGCGAAAATTGTGAAAGGAAATTTCAGAAAGGTTATGAAATTCTATGAAAGGGTTGATTCATTTTCTCAGTTGAAGCAATGCAAAGCATCAAGGACATTTTGAAGGGGGACTAGAACAAGTGAAAGGGAGGGCAGATTCAAGTGCGGTTTCATTTGACTAGAAGAAAAAGTGTCGCGTTAAAGCGGTTCTTCTTTTGCTTTAGCGTGACACGCTCTTGAAACTTACTTGAGCACCAGTTCTTGAAAAAAAATTCATCTGATTTTTGCATGAGTGCAGAATGAAAAGTAGGGCAGACTTTCAAAGAATGTTTATACGAAAACTATACATGTAGCCCAATTCATTCTGTTCTTTGGCTTGATGATCAGCAGCAATTACTAGCGCATCATGTTTCCCCTTCAGGCTATCCTAATAAGCACTACGTGTACGGCTCATTAAAAAGTACGCTTGGGATGGCACAGGAACAACTACGGGGAGAGGGGGGGGGGAGGACGTGAGAAGAAAATGAGATTGAAAGAGTACTTCAAGGAATATTTGAGCCATGTACTGTTGACCAACATATTCAGTTCCTATAGGAATTTCAGTAGGATAGCTTCAAAAAATTATTTTCATTCATTAGTTTACTCGTTCAATCTCACTTTTTTTTGCTCAGTAAACTTTATATTGGTCTAAACTACGCTGACGCTTCACCTCTTCTACGATTTACCATATTTTCTGCCTTTTAAAAATATACTCGGACAGATTTGGTAACCATTCCATTTTGCTTATTCATTCAATTATTTTACATTCATTCATTCATTTAGTTACTCATTCATCCGTTCATTCATTATTCATTCATTTATTTAACTGATCATTTATTCATTTATTTATTTAATTATTTAATTATTAGATTATTTAATTATTTGATTATTTAATTACTAGCTGGCTTGCCCGGCTCCGCCGTATCCGGACCAAACTTGGCACACATACACTTCGGGCCCTGGCGGGTGTCTCAGTCCACTTTTCGTTATCGATCGATGTCGATTTTACCGATTTTTATCGATTTTTTTGCAGAGTTCACCTACAGGGCTAGGAGTTGGCACAGGGGGGAAGTGAGCATGGGGATTCCGAATACAATATTAGTTTTCAGAATTATCGATTACTTTTATTGATTTTATCGATTTTTTGTAAATTTTGACATGCGAGGCTGGGATTTTGCACAGGGGGGTAATCGAGCATGCTGATTACGAACACATTAGTTTTCAGGATCGTCCATTACTTTTATCGATTTTATCGATTTTTTTGTAAAGTTTGACCTGCGGGGCTGGGAGTTTGCACAGGGGGTAATCGAGCATGCAGATTACGAATACAATATTAGTTTTCAAGATCGTCCATTACTTTTATCGATTTTATTGATTTTTTGCAAAGTTTGAGCTACGGGGCTGGAATTTGGCACAGGGGTGTAATCGAGCATGCTGATCACCCCCTTGGGGATGATCAGCATGCTCGATTACCCCCCTGTGCCAACTCCCAGCCCCCTAGCTCAAACTTTGCAAAAAAATCGATAAAATCGATAAAAGTAATCGATAATCCTGAAAACCAATATTGTATTCGGAATCCCCATGCTCGATTACCCCCCTGTGCCAACTCCCAGCCCCGTAGCTCAAACTTTGCAAAAAAATCGATAAAATCGATAAAAGTAATCGATAATCCTAAAAACCAATTATTGTATTCGGAATCCCCATGCTCGATTACCCCCCCTGTGCCAACTCCCAGCCCCGTAGGTGAACTCAGCAAAAAAATCGATAAAAATCGATAAAATCGATATCGATCGATGACGAAAAGTAGCCTATGACACCCGCCGGGGCCCGTAGTGTATGTGTGCCAAGTTTGGTCCGGATCGGTTCAGAAATGAAATTTTCTATTCGGAACATACGTACAGACATACAGACATACAGACAAACAGACATTCAGCTTTATATATAAGATTTATTTATTTTTATTTATTTATTTATTCATTCGTTCGTTCCTGCGATTCATCCACTCGATCATTCATTCATTCAGTCATTCACTCACTCACTCATTCATTCATTCACTCATTCATTTTTCGGCTGTTTGTGTCTCTAAAGCTGGTATTTTTTGCCACGCTTTTCGGATCTCTACCGTACTCCCACCATACCCATTTGCTCCAAAGTCATTATAGAGTATTCTAGACTCACTTGCTAGCTGTACTCGGAGGCATATTGCTATTCTTTGTGGCAGAAGCTGCCGTAGCTTTTTCCAATCGTTCCTCTTTCTTCTTTTGTCTGGCTTGCTGTTTAAACGTCGAGAGGGCGTACAGCAACTGTAGAACGGCAGCTAGTTGACCGGTATCGATATCTGAAATTCGATATTTGGAGTAAAAAGCCTTAACAGTGGCAAAAGAAGGTTGGATACAATGAATGATGCAGATAAGCTTGCAGGAAGTAGAGGAGTAAAGGGTAGGGAGAAAGAATGCAAGAAAAGAGGAATGAATGGAATGAATGAACAAGAATGATAAGAGATGGAATATATTAGGTTGGTGCAAAAGTAATGCGCGTTTTTCCAGCCCTTATTTCAAGAAACTTTTCTCCATCGAAGTTTCTCCCATGAAACTTACACAGCATACCCTGAAGAAGCTTCTTTCATGCTCTATTCAATGGTGGTTGAAAGGAGCTTCTAACCTCGATCGTTAAAAATTTATAGAGCTTCATACAACCGCACCCGAAACCAGAATTTCATTGCACTTACTTTTTTGGCCAGAATTTGAGCGTGAAAAATCGCATTTTTTTGAAAATTTATTTACTGTATATAGTAGAAATTTTCTACGTTACGCACGCTTTGCTGTTTTCTAAGAAATTATTTGGACTGAGATTTCGGTGCCCCAACATGAGTGATGGTTTTGAACATTCTGTGGCCCATAGATTTCCTTTGAAGAGGGCAATCGCCAAAGTTTTGCTCATTCCTGTAAGCGTAAGAGTGGACCTCCTGTTGACAGTTTTTGCAGAAACGTGGAAGCTGTTCAGTACACAGAAAATGAAAAATCCCCATATTTTGGGATTTTGAGGGCTACGAAAAAATGTCGAAAAAAGCGGACAATTTTAAATATTTTTTTTCCTTTCTCAAATCTTCTTTGTTTGAGTCCCTTTCAACTTTTGTTTGTACTACTGGCTTGCGGCTACAAGACAGTCAGCTTTTCATTTATACCAACAAATCTTGAAGGAAGTTATGATCGGTTAAAAACGAGGTTTCCGAAAAAAATTTTTTTGCTTATCAATCCATATTTTTCCACCGTTTTGCGATGTTAGCACAGATCAATGTGCGCTGTATAGAGAGAGGTTTGGTGCTTCTGACGGATTTTGCCGCGCTAAAAAATATGGATTTTTTAGAAAGTTATAGCACGTCAAAGTGAGAACTCGCAAAACGCGCATAACTTTTGCACCAACCTAATATAAGTGAATAAGTGAATATGAATGAATGAATGGATAAATTGAATGAATGAAAAGACGAATAAACGAATGGATGAATGAATGAGTGGATGAATGAATGGATGAATGAATGAATGCACTCGATGACTGATTGAGTTCCACACGAAAAGGAAGAACATCGGTGTGGGTACGTCTGTAGATGTTTACAAGTCGGCATGAAACAGGAAAAATTGAAAAACTCTCAAGTAAAGGGAAAAGACCAAAAAATTATGAAATTGATTCAGATAAACCAAAGTAAGAAAAGGTTGGAAAAAAGCATAATGGATAAGTTAATAAATTAATAAGTAAATGAATGGGAATTGCAAGCGAGATAGAAAAATGTGAATCAAGTACACAAGTACACATAACA